TATGGATCAGGTTTTGCGCACTAAACAGCAATTACCTCTTTGGGAATTTTCACTCACAGCCAGATAAATCTATCGGCTGCTCCGCGGTGCCGCTAATGTGAGTATTTAAATATTTAAAAAAAAAATTCCCACCTTCAAATATTCCATGGGAAACCTTTACCTTTGCATTTGCTTACATCAGTCCTGTTCCACAGGTCTGCCATCCAATGAGCTCACTATCTAAGCAAAGCCTCGAGCACGAAATGCATAATTACTGTTGGCCAGCAGCTCTTCGTGCTTCGGCAGTTTCAAGAATGTGCGGAAAATTTGTTTGACACTTGAGGCGAACACCACCTGTGTTTGTATTTCTGATGAAGCTGATTCGAGCTGTTTTTTCGAGCTCCTCTGAACTCTGCTGAATCAGCATGTGCACTGGTGGTAAACCCCCACCTCTCCTCTCCTCTTCCTGTGACACCTGCAGCTTTTTCTGTGACGTGATGGCTCACCTGATGTCTGCTGAAGTTCAAGAAGAGCTTTTATGGTGGAAGTGGCCGACTGGGATTCCCCGCCAGATACCTCCTGGTAGATGATGGTGGGGCTGGACTCCACAGCTACTTCCTGCTCAGTCCAATCCTGCTCTCTGGAGGACACCACGTGCACTACAGGCTGCACTTCTGAGGAGCGGACAGTTTTTGTTTTTTTAAACCAGCGGTTACACATCACATTTCAGTCAACAATCCTGAGGCAAACACCACAGAAGCAGTAGTTTATCTCCAATCTCTGCGTCATGGGAAAAGTAAAGGGAGGCATACCTTGAGCGCTGCCCTGAGAAGCCTCGCTGACTAAGCTGCTGGCCTCCGCGAGGCTGCCGGCATCATCCTTTGCGGCCCCGTCCTGGCCTGGGGTCTGACTCTGACTCAGTTCGGCGGAGCGAGTCACCTGCTGCAGCGTCTCAGTGACCAGCTGCCGGGTCTGCTCGCTCACCACCGCTGTCTGGAAGACCGGCTTCGGTTTGATGAGAACCTGCAGGAAACCAGAGGAGCATACAGTGTCCTGAAAGCTGTTGACTGGTGTGTGCTCCTCATTATACTTGATAAGGAATTATAGTCCTAATGAGTGAAAACACAAGCCTGAAAGCAAGCGTTTGCCTCTGTAACCTCCTGTTGTGGCAGGCCAGATGTTTCAATATCCGTTCAGACTTCCACTACTTTCCATCTTTCTTTCCATCTCTCTCTTCCCTCACACAGCCGGTCACAACGAGTCTTTCAATG